GATATAAAACTGAAACTTTTTTAACTGATTCAAATGCTTTAATGGCCTTCTAATCAGCATGAAAAAATCGAAAATCGGCCAAGGAATAAGAATTTTAGTACCCAAAATTTGGACCCCCAAGTGGTGTCAAAAACGCGAATTAAATAGGTAATAATTATTTTTACTGGGAGACTTTAGGGTAGGAAACTGATCCGGCCACCAAAGGGCCTTGACACCAGTCTTAAAGGTTTGACGGGTTCCTGCTAGTGCTTATAATGATTCGGCATGGACCACAAGCGATTATGACATAATGCAGCTGTCATTTGAAAACAATCCCCTTCATCAAATTTAATTCAGTGATCTCGGCCCACAGGCTCCTCCTATTAAACAATTTTGATTTTGGTAAATGTGTGCTGACTCCACCACCTATGTATTTAACCTAATATTTAGTGTATTACAGGTAGAAATTGACTTAGGTAGGTATTTTTATCTTAGGTAGATATTAAGAATTTGGATAATTTCTTAATTGTATGACTATTTCCATTACTGAGACGTTTTTAATATTTAATTTAGGAGGGTTTTTGGAATTTTTTTTTAGGACTGGTTCACAGAGTGAACAGATTCCAGATTTATATATTTTTAAACTGATATTTAATAAATGATTAAAAGAACAAATTTTAAAGTTGCCATTAGATCCAAAAATACACCCATTATGCTCACTTAAAAACAACTCTAAATCAGTAGGCTGTCACTCTATTAATGCACCACACCGCTACCTCCACTGCACTAATAGTTATACAATAAATTCTACAATCCTAATTTTGTGTCGTGATGGAGACCGGTGTTCATACAAAACATTTACTAGGTTGCCGTTTGGTGTGAGCAATAGCGAACAGCACGCACACTCCTTTGCCCCGTCAACCTATATCTAATCTATTTAAAGAGTGACAACCATACTGCACATTGAATTAGAATTCCGTTAAATATCAAATTGATTTATTGTAAACTTGTTTAATCTGTAATAAATGGCATAAAATTGAAATTTTTGTTTAACTGAAATTTTTGTTTAACTGATACCAACAGTTCTAGTTGCTATCCGCGCTAATTTAGCACCCTGAAACATGGGACATTAATAAAGTATAAGAGTGTGGATACCAACAGTTCTAGTTGCTATCCGCGCTAATTTAGCACCCTGAAACATGGAACATTAATAAAGTATAAGAGTATGGATACCAACAGTTCTAGTTGCTATCCGCGCTAATTTAGCACCCTGAAACATGGAACATTAATAAAGTATAAGAGTGTGAATACCAACAGTTCTAGTTGCTATCCGCGCTAATTTAGCACCCTGAAACATGGAACATTAATAAAGTATAAGAGTGTGGATACCAACAGTTCTAGTTGCTATCCGCGCTAATTTAGCACCCTGAAACATGGAACATTAATAAAGTATAAGAGTGTGGATACCAACAGTTCTAGTTGCTATCCGCGCTAATTTAGCACCCTGAAACATGGAACATTAATAAAGTATAAGAGTGTGGATACAAACAGTTCTAGTTGCTATCCGCGCTAATTTAGCACCCTGAAACATGGAACATTAATAAAGTATAAGAGTGTGGATACCAACAGTTCTAGTTGCTATCCGCGCTAATTTAGCACCCTGAAACATGGAACATTAATAAAGTATAAGAGTGTGGATACCAACAGTTCTAGTTGCTATCCGCGCTAATTTAGCACCCTGAAACATGGAACATTAATAAAGTATAAGAGTGTGGATACAAACAGTTCTAGTTGCTATCCGCGCTAATTTAGCACCCTGAAACATGGGACATTAATAAAGTATAAGAGTGTGGATACCAACAGTTCTAGTTGCTATCCGCGCTAATTTAGCACCCTGAAACATGGAACATTAATAAAGTATAAGAGTGTGGATACCAACAGTTCTAGTTGCTATCCGCGCTAATTTAGCACCCTGAAACATGGAACATTAATAAAGTATAAGAGTGTGGATACCAACAGTTCTAGTTGCTATCCGCGCTAATTTAGCACCCTGAAACATGGAACATTAATAAAGTATAAGAGTGTGAATACCAACAGTTCTAGTTGCTATCCGCGCTAATTTAGCACCCTGAAACATGGAACATTAATAAAGTATAAGAGTGTGGATACCAACAGTTCTAGTTGCTATCCGCGCTAATTTAGCACCAGGGGTGTAGGAATGATTTTCTTCATGGGGGGGCCAAATTCTAAATATTTTTTGGCGCTTCGCGCCACAGCCTAAATTTTTTGGCGCTTCGCGCCAAAGCCTGAATTTCGAGGTTAAGGACAAAAGTGAAAAGGAAATTGCAGCATGTGCGGTATCGCGATTTTTCACGTTTGCCGCGACAAGTCGCGATTTTTCAGATCCTGGCCTCACGAAAAATCGCGATTTTTTCAGTTCTCCGCGTCAAATTGCGAATTTTCCTTTAAATCTGAGAACCAAATTCGTGTATTTTCCTTCAAATCTGTGGGCCAAATATTACGTTTTCTATAATTAGTATATGAAACCAATCAGTATTACATCCACAACCTTCCGAATGTAGGTACGGACTTCAAAAAACCGAAAAAAATATTTTCGGCTCAGAATGATCAGGGTAGCATAAAACATGAACAAAAGTAATTTCCAGAAAAACTTTTAAAAATTTTGACTTAGAAAATTTTCGGTCCGAGTCATTCACGATACGTACCTCTAAAAGCAGAGCTCCCGCTTCCGAGCTCGTATTACTATTACGAAGGGGAGGCCTGCCTTCCGAGATCGCATCACAAAGGGGAACCCACGAGTTTAAAATCGTATATCGAAGGGTAGGTGCGGACTTCGAAAACCGAAAAAAATATTTTCGGCTCAGAATGATCAGGGTAGCATGAAACATGAACAGAAGTAGTTTTCAAGAAAACTTTGAAAATTTTTGACTTAGAAAATTTTCGGTCCGAGTCATTCACGATACGTACCTCTGAAAGCAGAGCTCCCGCTTCCGAGCTCGTATTGCGAAGGGAGGCCTGCCTTCCGAGATCGCATCACAAAGGGGAACCCTCGAGTACAAAATCGTATGTCGAACTTCGAAAACCGAAAAAAATATTTTCGGCTCATAATGATCAGGGTAGCATGAAACATGAACAAAAGTAGTTTTCAAGAAAACTTTGAAAATTTTTGACTTTAAAATTTTCGGGGGAAAAAAAATTTTCCCAAAAATTTTTAAAAGCCTAAATTAAAAAGTTGGCCCTTTTTGGCCCCTTGCCCAAATTTCATGGGGGGGCGATGGCCCCCCCTGCCCCCCCGCTTCCTACACCCCTGTTTAGCACCCTGAAACATGGGACATTAATAAAGTATAAGAGTGTGGATACAAACAGTTCTAGTTGCTATCCGCGCTAATTTAGCACCCTGAAACATGGAACATTAATAAAGTATAAGAGTGTGGATACCAACAGTTCTAGTTGCTATCCGCGCTAATTTAGCACCCTGAAACATGGAACATTAATAAAGTATAAGAGTGTGGATACCAACAGTTCTAGTTGCTATCCGCGCTAATTTAGCACCCTGAAACATGGAACATTAATAAAGTATAAGAGTGTGGATACCAACAGTTCTAGTTGCTATCCGCGCTAATTTAGCACCCTGAAACATGGAACATTAATAAAGTATAAGAGTGTGGATACCAACAGTTCTAGTTGCTATCCGCGCTAATTTAGCACCCTGAAACATGGAACATTAATAAAGTATAAGAGTGTGGATACAAACAGTTCTAGTTGCTATCCGCGCTAATTTAGCACCCTGAAACATGGAACATTAATAAAGTATAAGAGTGTGGATACCAACAGTTCTAGTTGCTATCCGCGCTAATTTAGCACCCTGAAACATGGGACATTAATAAAGTATAAGAGTGTGGATACCAACAGTTCTAGTTGCTATCCGCGCTAATTTAGCACCCTGAAACATGGAACATTAATAAAGTATAAGAGTGTGGATACCAACAGTTCTAGTTGCTATCCGCGCTAATTTAGCACCCTGAAACATGGAACATTAATAAAGTATAAGAGTGTGGATACCAACAGTTCTAGTTGCTATCCGCGCTAATTTAGCACCCTGAAACATGGGACATTAATAAAGTATAAGAGTGTGGATACCAACAGTTCTAGTTGCTATCCGCGCTAATTTAGCACCCTGAAACATGGAACATTAATAAAGTATAAGAGTGTGGATACCAACAGTTCTAGTTGCTATCCGCGCTAATTTAGCACCCTGAAACATGGAACATTAATAAAGTATAAGAGTGTGGATACCAACAGTTCTAGTTGCTATCCGCGCTAATTTAGCACCCTGAAACATGGAACATTAATAAAGTATAAGAGTGTGGATACCAACAGTTCTAGTTGCTATCCGCGCTAATTTAGCACCCTGAAACATGGAACATTAATAAAGTATAAGAGTGTGGATACCAACAGTTCTAGTTGCTATCCGCGCTAATTTAGCACCCTGAAACATGGAACATTAATAAAGTATAAGAGTGTGGATACCAACAGTTCTAGTTGCTATCCGCGCTAATTTAGCACCCTGAAACATGGGACATTAATAAAGTATAAGAGTGTGGATACCAACAGTTCTAGTTGCTATCCGCGCTAATTTAGCACCCTGAAACATGGGACATTAATAAAGTATAAGAGTGTGGATACCAACAGTTCTAGTTGCTATCCGCGCTAATTTAGCACCCTGAAACATGGAACATTAATAAAGTATAAGAGTGTGGATACCAACAGTTCTAGTTGCTATCCGCGCTAATTTAGCACCCTGAAACATGGAACATTAATAAAGTATAAGAGTGTGGATACCAACAGTTCTAGTTGCTATCCGCGCTAATTTAGCACCCTGAAACATGGAACATTAATAAAGTAGCACTCATATATAGAGAATATAGAGTTATAGTTATTATAGACCCATGATTTTAGATACAAATTTCAAAAAGTATAGTCTTGAAATATCCAATAACCTTAGCAGTGCGGGCCCTGCCCGTGATACTTGAGATGAGTTGAACAGCTTGGGATATGGAGCTGGATCTACGGCGCTCTGCGCGTGAAGTGCGACGATCTGAGGTGCGCCGTGTGCGTCTCAGCAACTCCTCCATCGCTAGACGCCTCGTTGTGGATGGGAGTCGGAACTGTATCGAACCTGAAAATAATATCACGTAACTGTAGACTGTTTCTGCATCTGAACAACTTTAACAGGAATTTCTCTATTTATACCGCTCTTGTACCGTCCTTCCAAAATATTACTACCGTTCACCGTATATCCCTGGCCTGGTTTGTGTATTTACCTGAGCCAGGGTTGATGTCTAGTTCCTGGTTTGTGTATTTACCTGAGCCAGGGTTGATGTCTAATTCCTGGTTTGTGTGTTTACCTGAGCCAGGGTTGATGTCTAGTTCCTGGTTTGTGTGTTTACCTGAGCCAGGGTTGATGTCTAGTTCCTAGTTTGTGTATTTACCTGAACCAGGGTTGATGTCTAGTTCCTAGTTTGTGTATTTACCTGAGCCAGGGTTGATGTCTAATTCCTGGTTTGTGTGTTTACCTGAGCCAGGGTTGATGTCTAGTTCCTGGTTTGTGTATTTACCTGAGCCAGGGTTGATGTCTAGTTCCTGGTTTGTGTGTTTACCTGAGCCAGGGTTGATGTTTAGTTCCTGGTTTGTGTATTTACCTGAGCCAGGGTTGATGTCTAGTTCCTGGTTTGTGTGTTTACCTGAGCCAGGGTTGATGTCTAATTCCTGGTTTGTGTATTTACCTGAGCCAGGGTTGATGTCTAGTTCCTGGTTTGTGTGTTTACCTGAGCCAGGGTTGATGTCTAGTTCCTGGTTTGTGTATTTACCTGAACCAGGGTTGATGTCTAGTTCCTGGTTTGTGTGTTTACCTGAACCAGGGTTGATGTCTAGTTTCTGGTTTGTGTGTTTACCTGAGCCAGGGTTGATGTCTAGTTCCTGGTTTGTGTGTTTACCTGAGCCAGGGTTGATGTCTAATTCCTGGTTTGTGTGTTTACCTGAGCCAGGGTTGATGTCTAGTTCCTGGTTTGTGTGTTTACCTGAGCCAGGGTTGATGTCTAGTTCCTGGTTTGTGTGTTTACCTGAACCAGGGTTGATGTCTAGTTCCTGGTTTGTGTGTTTACCTGAGCCAGGGTTGATGTCTAATTCCTGGTTTGTGTGTTTACCTGAGCCAGGGTTGATGTCTAGTTTCTGGTTTGTGTGTTTACCTGAGCCAGGGTTGATGTCTAGTTCCTGGTTTGTGTGTTTACCTGAGCCAGGGTTGATGTCTAGTTCCTGGTTTGTGTATTTACCTGAGCCAGGGTTGATGTCTAATTCCTGGTTTGTGTGTTTACCTGAGCCAGGGTTGATGTCTAGTTTCTGGTTTGTGTGTTTACCTGAGCCAGGGTTGATGTCTAGTTCCTGGTTTGTGTGTTTACCTGAGCCAGGGTTGATGTCTAATTCCTGGTTTGTGTGTTTACCTGAGCCAGGGTTGATGTCTAGTTTCTGGTTTGTGTGTTTACCTGAGCCAGGGTTGATGTCTAGTTCCTGGTTTGTGTGTTTACCTGAGCCAGGGTTGATGTCTAGTTCCTGGTTTGTGTGTTTACCTGAGCCAGGGTTGATGTCTAGTTCCTGGTTTGTGTGTTTACCTGAGCCAGGGTTGATGTCTAGTTCCTGGTTTGTGTGTTTACCTGAGCCAGGGTTGATGTCTAGTTCCTGGTTTGTGTGTTTACCTGAGCCAGGGTTGATGTCTAGTTCCTGGTTTGTGTGTTTACCTGAGCCAGGGTTGATGTCTAATTCCTGGTTTGTGTGTTTACCTGAGCCAGGGTTGATGTCTAGTTCCTGGTTTGTGTATTTACCTGAGCCAGGGTTGATGTCTAGTTCCTGGTTTGTGTGTTTACCTGAGCCAGGGTTGATGTTTAGTTCCTGGTTTGTGTGTTTACCTGAGCCAGGGTTGATGTCTAGTTCCTGGTTTGTGTGTTTACCTGAGCCAGGGTTGATGTCTAGTTCCTGGTTTGTGTATTTACCTGAGCCAGGGTTGATGTCTAGTTCCTGGTTTGTGTATTTACCTGAGCCAGGGTTGATGTCTAGTTCCTGGTTTGTGTATTTACCTGAACCAGGGTTGATGTCTAGTTCCTGGTTTGTGTATTTACCTGAGCCAGGTTTGATGTCTAGTTCCTGGTTTGTGTATTTACCTGAGCCAGGGTTGATGTCTAGTTCCTGGTTTGTGTGTTTACCTGAGCCAGGGTTGATGTCTAGTTCCTGGTTTGTGTGTTTACCTGAGCCAGGGTTGATGTCTAGTTCCTGGTTTGTGTGTTTACCTGAGCCAGGGTTGATGTCTAGTTCCTGGTTTGTGTATTTACCTGAGCCAGGGTTGATGTCTAGTTCCTGGTTTGTGTATTTACCTGAGCCAGGGTTGATGTCTAGTTCCTGGTTTGTGTATTAACCTGAGCCAGGGTTGATGTCTAGTTCCTGGTTTGTGTGTTTACCTGAACCAGGGCCAGGGTTGATGTCTAGTTCCTGATTTGTGTATTTACCTGAACCAGGGTTGATGTCTAGTTCCTGGTTTGTGTGTTTACCTGAACCAGGGTTGATGTCTAGTTCCTGGTTTGTGTATTTACCTGAGCCAGGGTTGATGTCTAGTTCCTGGTTTGTGTATTTACCTGAGCCAGGGTTGATGTCTAGTTCCTGGTTTGTGTGTTTACCTGAGCCAGGGTTGATGTCTAGTCCTTCCTCGTCTTCTTCTCCGCCTCCACTGCACTGTACGCAGAACCAGTCACCGTCAGGTATGTTGTCAAGTTGGGGTCTCAAGCAGTGTGTGTGATATGCCTCGTCACACCCGTCACACAGCAGTAATAACTCTGTGGTGCACATCATTAAACCAAATTGCAACTATTGATCATCAAAACATGTATCGTTATGTTGTTGAAATTCTATAAGAATCTTTCTAGGGCCGATTTTTTTCTCATATATATTACTGAATTAAGAATCCATTGAGCACCAACCCTTGCTTCAGGCCGGGAGAAATTCAGGATTTACAAAAGTAGAAAAGTATAAAGTTAGATTTAAAGATTAATAACTTTTTTAAATAACCACCTTCATTTTGACCACTGTGGCAAATCTGGCAAACATAATGCTCTACTTCCACAGTTACACTGTCTTTGGACTTGTACTGTATCTTGACCTTGGTGGAGTAGTCGCCTCGCAATGTGTCGCACGTACACAGGTGATCGAACCTGACAAAACAGAGGGTTTATAAGTTTAATTAGTTTAATTAAGTTTAATTAAACAGATGGTTTATGAGTTTAATTTTTGAAGTTACTCTCCATTGCATAAGTGGCTCCAGGCCTAACAAATATATTCGGCTAAAAGGTCTAAACAGCATATAATTGAGGTGTGATGGGGTTAACCTTACTTCCTAGAAGTACGAAAGGTATTTTTAAAATGAAGAGAGGCAAAAAGGTAACTAAACTTGAATTAATTTAGAAATTGCGATGGTGACATTCGATTAATCTCAGCCGATTAATCTCAGCCAAACTTTCTTGAAAAAAGTGAAGAATAGCGACAAATTTCCTGTGTAAAGTGTAAGAGGTGAACTAGTTGTGATGGAAACTATTCTAAGGATAGTACGCACTACGCAACCCACGTGAAGCTCAGTCCTATTATCAATAATATCGATAGTTAATAGTTATGCTTATAACTCCATTGCTGATATAATAGCAAACAACGAACCTGTTTCTACAAATAGGACATGTGTCTGCGTTCTTAGACCACTCAGTAATGCAGGGTTCACAAAACACATGTTCACATTCAGCTAGCTTGGCAAATGAGTCTAATTCTTCCTCTCCTCCCTGGCAAACGGGGCACAGAAACTCTTCTTCTGAAAAATAAATCATGCCATCAAAAATAAGTTTGACTACAATTGACTTAGAAATTAATGTAATCCTGACACACTGAAACTTGTCTGCTTCCATAAATATTTGATACTAACATTTTGCTCACGAAACAAAACGAAACGAAACACTGTATTTAATATTTATCCCCTGCTACTATGGGACAAAGATATTGTATAAAATATAACTAAATAATTTACACAATACGGTGCCCATGTCTGAGCGGCTCCCTTCAAAAACTTTCTCTCCTCATCGGAGCAGAAACACGGGTCTCATAAAATAAAAAAAAACTAAATAAAGTTAAAGAGATAATATCATATTAACTGTCGCAAAAAATGGTAATAGTATGTATACTATTACTATGTATAATTATTATTATGTATACTAAAAACTAGTTGGTTTTTTCTGTGTGTCAATAAAATCAATTATATTGTATGCATATGTATACATAAAACCAACTGGTTAAACCAAAGAACAAGAAATGGATACTCGAAAAAATTACACAAAAAAGAGTAAGCCACTAGCAATACCCTAGGCCTAACCAGGCTATAACTGATCATACAATGCAAATAGTTCTTCAACTTACTCTTAAAAGACACAATATTATCAATTTTACGGACATCAAGAGGGAGAGATTTAGCTAAAGAGATTTAGCTAAAGAGAATTAGCTAAAATTTAGAATAAGAATTGTGATATTTGGGGTCACAACTTTACTTCGGGATCACCCTGTAAGCTGTTTGAAAACTGTAAAATGAAACAAACCTTCAGTAGCTTCCTCATCATCGTCTCCATCTTCGTCATCCTCTTGATGTTCCTCAGCATATTCTGCTGATATTTCAGCTTTTTCTTCTTGATCCTCCAGAAGGTTTTCTGTCTCAGGGTGATGATCGCCTTTTATCTTCTTGTCCATTTTAGGACTTCCATTTTCTGATATTAATATTTTGCCCCCATAGAGGACATTTGACATAGCAAACCTACAATTGGTGCAATTTTATTAGTAACACAATCACCAGGCCAGATGTCTCACTTTCCCACAAACATCAATTGCAGTGATAGCATCCACCTGTAATGTTTGAACACGGCATATGTAACTTGCCAAACCAAACTAGCAGTCAAGGACAAAAAGTCATACACCAAATGGGCATTATATTTTATGAATTGTTTTACATCTTTTTATTCTGTAAAATGTGCTAAAATTAAATTTCTTGTTTCATTGAATTTCTTATTTCATTGATATGATTCTTCAAGCTAACTTTTATTTATATAACGAAATCCTAATTCCTATCTAATTGTTAATACCTACCATCTATTTCTTAGGCGTTTGAACAGGAGTATATCTATATTATAATTCGAAAGATTGTTGCATGTATGTATGACCGCGCCGCCCACGTGCAAATTAGATGAGAAATATGAAGTTAGGTAAAAAATCAAAAGGTTGTATAGCAACGGTGTTTGAATGAGCACTTGCAATGATTGTTGGAACGGCATTTTGATCGGCTTTGTGGTAATTACGTTGTGTTTAAAGTTTTTTAAATTTAAATCGTCAGTATCTTCGGTTGGGATGGATATTTTTTGATGCGATTAAAAACTTTCTTTCTTTCAAAGAATACTATTAGCTTCATCCCTGTTACCACGGGCTTTCTAGTTTTATGTAAAATTATTGCTGTAATCTTATATGTTTGAAAGTTTTAAATTTTAAAAATTAAGTTACAGTAATGTAAATTACTGTTGCAACCACAAAGTTAGGAAAACAAATTTTTTAGGAAAACAAATTTAAATTTTGGTATTTATTAATAACAATCAAAACATATCATATCATAAAAATAAAGCCGCGCGTTGGTTGACTGCCTCAGTAAGGTGAATAATTTAAGCTTGAAGGTGCCCTGCGCATTTACAGAACCTTATGCGGCGATCACATATTCACGAGGACCTGTGAGCGCCAAAATTAATTTAAAGTTTCTAGAAATCATACATCACTACGAGTTACTCATGCTTTTGGATTATAAGAGTGCGGATTGTCAGGTATTTCATTCATTCATACTTAATCGGTTTAAAGCTGTATATTTAGAACTCACTATTGTTTAAACTACGAAAGCAGAACGTAGATAATGGACAATATACCGACGACAATACCAAGGACCCGAGTGCCGCATTGACTTTTCCGGATCCGTTTTTACCGAAGGCTTATCCACCAGTTACTCATGCTGCATGTATAGTCTGATAATATTTTGTCTTATCTCTAGCAAGCATTCTGTAAATTGAAGTGTCGTATTTATTATAGAAGAGCCAGCCAACCTCCGCATTATAATCTTTTGTGTGCCAAGTTCGTTTATAAAATCTAATCATATAATAAGATTGATCCAATAGTCTAAGATGAACGGTATATCATAGCTCATCGTTATTAAAATCCGAATGGATGAATTAATCAAGTAATGTTCCCTTTCAACACAACTAAACAACAAACAAATGCTTGCTCACCAGTGGTGACGCAATCGTAGGGGCATGCAGTTGGTTCAGATAACTCTCACCCCGACGACGGCGTCTAGAAATTATCAAATTATGCATTTGCGCCATACTGGACACATTTTATATTTAATATTTTGTGGTTTGTAGAAATTAGTGTCATCTACAGTATAGCTTAACTGGCGAGCAAGCATCGTCCCACTCGGCCGGGACGAAAATACCGAGTCCAATCACAGAAAGTTAACCAAAAGATAAAAATAAGAGCTCGGATATCAACAAAAATCACACGCTCCAGACGACGGGGGAAGAGAGGAAAGGAAGTAAGCTGCTGGGCTCAACAAATTTTGATAATTGTAAACAAATTCGTTCTTGTGCCCTATAATAATTTGGTATTGAGGTATGACCCTGTACTGTGCGTGATAGTGAAAATGAAAGTGAATGTGAATCTATAATGCGAACGAAATGAGTTATGGCCAGACGATTCTTCAATTTCAAAATAATAAAGTCAAAGGACTCTGTTTTAAAATACAAGCTCATTCTTATCGAAGTTTAATTCTGTCCATTCTAATTCTTCGTACCTGGACTGTATCTTGAGTAGCTCACTTTTCAGTGTTACTTTAACTAAGTTCGTTGACTTAGTAAAGCTTATCAAACTGTCAATTTTTCGACAGTCGTTCCACATTTTTGTTGATTGATAAATGAAAGAGGAGGATGGGTTCGGGGTGATGAACTGGTCTGAACGTCTTTGTGATGGTGATCTGTGGAGTAAAGATAGGAGTGAGATTGGAGATTCTAATCTGACAATTTTGAACAGTTCTAATAGACATGTGTATTTGTACAGGTTGTGGACGGTAAGAAGGCCGTTCTTGTTAAACAACGGCTTTGTATGCTCTTTTTCAAAGAATTCCCTTCCTAGGATTTGTTCATCTATACAACGTGTTCTGGCACATGTTCTAAATTTATCTAGATATGCTTCAAGGTCACCAAATAGTATTCTGATACATTTTTTCTGAGTGATGAAGACAGGTTGAAGCATATTGTTACTCGACCCACCCCATACCGATATTCCAAATCTTAGGTGTGACTCAAATAACGTGTGGTACAATTCTTTATGGTGTTTTTTCGGGATAACGTGTCGTATTCTACTGAGTCTTCCGATCTCACACCTAAGTTTCGAGTTGAGGGCTCTTATTTGAACATCCCATTTTAGCTTTTCGTCAATAATAACACCTAAAAACTTGGTCTCTTTAACTTGCTTTATTACCGTATTATTCAGAGTTAGTATATATTCTGATTCGTTATCTGCCTCATTATCAGTAGCTGTACGTGACGGATTGAAGTGAATGTAGCAGCATTTCTTTATATTTATATGCAATAGATTGCATTTCATGTACTGGTGTAACAAACGGAGAATTTCGTTTGCTCTTTCATACAGTTTTTTTCTACATTCATCTACTACGAATATGTTTGTGTCATCTGCAAATAGTATGAACTTGCCCAGATCAGTTGTTCTAAATAAGTCGTTAACATATATTATAAATAGCAAGGGTCCGAGACAAGAGCCTTGGGGAACTCCAAAGAGAACAGGCAGCTTGTCAGACTCTTCGCCCAGTACAGAGACATATTGATATCTATTAGAGAGATAACTAGCGATGAGTCTATTGGCGTTTCCACGTATTCCATAGTTGTCTAGTTTATTAAGTAGTTTTTCATGTGAGATCGTGTCAAACGCTTTAGATAGATCAATAAATATTCCAAGTACATGCAGTTTTTTGCTAAGACAGGATTCTATGTAATTCACTGAGGAGTTGAGGGCATGGCTTGTGGAGTGATTTTTTCTAAATCCGTACTGGTTCTCGTAAATCATTTTCTGGGACTGAAAGAAGCTATACAGTCTGTTGTAAATAACTTTTTCAAATATCTTACCAAAAACAGCTAAGGTTGATACTGGCCTATAGTTTTCCAGCAATTCCTCATTATCCTTCTTATAGATCGGACTGATCCTCCCAGTCTTTAAATCATCTGGGAATACTCCATTCCTCATGCATTCACTGTATAATAAAGATAGTATAGGACAGATCACTTTAGACGATTCTTTAACTATATGTATTGGGATGTCGGATGACTTCCCATTCTTCAGTTCAGATATAATCATTCTAACCTCGTCAGCTGTACAGTCATTCATGAAAATACTGGACGTGTTTGCTCTAGGCAGGTAGTCATAAAAACTAGGAAGAGTGTTAATAGTTAGTTCTCCAATTTCATTATATGCCCCGTTTAAATTAGACGCTAGAGAAACAAAATACTTATTAAATTCATTGGCTATTACTGTACGATTGGTTATCTTCTCATTGTTTATAGTAAACAGTGGTTTTATTTGCCGTTTCTGTTTGCCCCGTATTTGATTAATCAGTTCCCATGTCTTCTTACTATTACCGTTTGTGTCTGCAAATTTTCCCATAAAATACTTAGTTTGAACATCTTTGCGATCTTTTTTAACCATCCTTCTATAATCCTTATAAGTTTTGTATCTAGAACGTTTTTCACAACATTTCAAGCATTGACATGTTCCACCTTTATAATCAGTTTCACCAAGTTTACATTTTTTCTTTCTAACTTTAGCCCAATTGTCATAGAGTTGGTGCTGATGCTTGATTTTGGCTATAAGCCCAGGTGTGATCCATGGGTTATTTTGTGTAGTTCTTTTGGAAGACTTAGGGGTTGCCAACTTACACGTTTTATCGATACTACTTTTGAAAACATCATGAAATACCGTGAAGTTGTCAATTACTTTATTCTCTAATTCATGTTCCAAGTCCTTTACAAAAGAGGTAACATTAGACTTACAGTAGTCGTAATATTGTTTATATTTTAGGTTACTCTTAGTGGATCCCATACTCTTTTCAAATATTTGAAAGACTGGTGAGTGGTGGGATATACGATCAGTAAGTGTGCCTGAGGCTATTATACTCTCTACATCGTTAGTTATAATATTGTCAATACACGATGCTTTACAACCTGGCTTCTCATGAGTTGGCAGAGATATTAGGGGAAAAAATCCTCTACTGAACAGGACTTCCTCATAACGTTTTACAATCGCATTATCCTTATTATGTAGATCAATGTTGAAATCACCTGCCAGGTAACTGCATTTCGGCAAATTATCGAGAATTGCTGAGAGTTCTAATAATGCAACATTTACATCACCACTTGGAGGGCGATAAACTACACCAACAGTGACCGGAGTATTCTTGCTGCTTATCGTAACAAATAGAGTTTCTAGGTTTTCAGATATATGGGACAAATTGCCATTTACTGTAGCACTGAGGGTATCACATACATAAAGAGCGACTCCAGTGCCTTTTCTTTTATCTTGCAAAGTGTTTTGGTAGAAACTATTGTATCCAGTCAGTTGGTAAAGGTCACTTAATTCGGGGCCTTCATTTGTTTCTGCTAAAGCAATGATCGAAAATTTCATATATCTCTGTAGTTCTATTGCCAGAGTATCAAAGTTAGATTTATTACCATCGATATTTTGAAATAATAATGATGAGTACTCGTTCATTTGGTTGAAAAATGTTTTATTAAATTCTTTAACACTATATGGGTTACAGTTATTGAGTAATCGGTTGATGTTTACAAGTGTTTCATCAATGTCAGTACTATTATTTTCAGAGTCAGTATCTTCATATATAAACGGATTGTAACGAGTACTTGCTAAGTGTACACAGTTAGGGCAGTAAAAATCGTCATATATTTTGTTTGTACTGGATTTAGTATAGCATTTATGGTGCATAGCACAGTCACACCTACAACATTCAGCAATGAATTGGCCAATGGAAATGAATTTTGTACAGACAGGGCATACCTCTTTGGTCAATTTATTCATGGGTACGGTACGTAACCTTCCCCTAGTTGAGTCGCAGCAGCAGCAGGAGAGGAACCACCCATCGTCTGGGAGTATAAGCGATTGTCAACTTTATCCGATCTCTTCTTCCTTCTATCAGTCCCTCCATTCATCCTTAAAAGTATTGTATCACGTATAAGAACCCCCAGTTTTGCTGTACCACTCCAATTGAGGTGTAAATAGTCCGGTCTCTGGTTTCGTCCAATGTTCCTAGAGAATTGCTGGCTTAGGAGCCCAGCCTCATCACAGAACATGTCAAAACCAGGTACCAAAGTCACACCAAAGTTGGAATGGAGCAACTCCTTAAAAATTAATTCATTATAATGTACAACTTTACGATTTAGCTCAACGAGTTTGGTTGGCAGCAGCGGACACACAAATATATTCGCTTTGGGGTTAAGCGCTTGGATCATTTCTACTTTCTGAACAAATGGTGTAAAAACATTGTTCTTTATATCAGCGGTATTTTTGATCTCAGGTTTCCTGATATCATTTATACCACACATCAAGAGAACATTCCTGTATCCACATGAAACTATAGGATTTATATCCCCCACTACCGGAGCAAAATACTGTTTTCCGGGGAGCCACTGCCCAAATGATTTTTTGGGGTCCAGCCCGAATTTGAGACCACCAGTATGCGAGTCTCCGATGATGCATGTAGAGTTCCTGTTCCTAAAGCTAACTGAACGAAAAGTTAGGCTGTATCTCACCCCACCAGTTATTGCCCCATCCTCGATACAGTGGCTGTAGAACTCTTGGCTACGTCGAGTCATGCGATACATGGATCTTGGCACACATGTATGGTCAAGAGCCATATGATCCGTCTTCTTATCAAAGAATTTGATGTTGCACTGGCCTCCAATAGACACAGTGAAAATTTCGGATTCAGGGTGGATGGTAGCTTCATCATCCGAGTGTTTCGGTAGGGAGCCATCCTCTTTGAAGCGGTTGATCAGCAGGCTATTGATCTTCGGTTTTTCACCACTACAGAATGCACCATTGATTTTGTCCATTAGATTGGAGAAGCTAGTTGAAGCTAGTTGGCCATTGGATGACTTGGAGCCATTATACTTGTATGGTTCTCCCAAAGAATACACAGCACGAGCTCCCTCCACAACAAAATCCTCCTCAAGTGATTGGCAGGCAAGGAGGAGAGTTTTCTGCTCTTCTGTGGTAATAAACTCTTCTATAGCGCCTACAACTGGTTCTTCTTTTGATTGGAGATGCTCATTAGCTATTAGGTCTGGGCCAGGGGCAAGTGAAGAACTGGTAAGTTGGACGTTTAAATGGTCAGAAGAAGCCAAAGAATTTCGCTCAAGAGTGTTCAAAGACTGTCTAATGGCTGTTAGCTCCTGATTTGTCTCCAGAGACTGCTTGGAATTTAGCTCATGGAGATTCTTCTCTATTTTTTCCATGAGATCATTGGTCTTGGATGAAGATTGAGCACTTACTTGAGGAATAGAAAAGTCCTGCAGTTGCTTGTTCAACACTTTAATCTGTTCTGTTAGGCCACTATCAGTCTCAGAAACCTTTCCGAGTGTAGAGTCAACTGAAGTTTTCAGCTGCTTTAGATTTCCTTCCATCACTTCAACCCATGCTGGAGCAGTGCCCTTGTCACTAACCAGTAGGTGCTTGATATGGAGGTCAAGGTTCTGGATGGCAGCAATGCTGTCGTTTAGACTGTCAAAGTCAACCTTGGCAAGCTTTTCACCAAAAGCTGTGATGGTATTAAGCTTCTCTGTGGCAATAGCTGTCTCACACTGACTGTTAGATTTTTGAAGTGTCAGACTGTTCCTACACACATAACACACATCTGCATCAGTTTCGAATGTGGGAATTGGTGAAACCAAACAAAAAGGGCAGTGCCAATTGGTCATGCTGTTGACATTTTTCTGGTTGAGTCCATTCATAGTTAGACAGTCTATGTGCCAATATTGCTTGCACTTTACACAGTCAATCTTCCATGACGATATTGACTTACTACATGGACATTTCGTCTTGTCCCTGTGTGAACTGTCAAACTTTGGGGGTGTTACATCACTGTCTACAACAATAGTTTCACAAGATACGTCCTTTCCCTTCGCCTCTGGTCCTGGAGTGTTGTTCTTGATTCGGGACTTTGCCTTTTTGTCCGCAGGGGAAGGAATCCGAGACATATTGGTAATAGATGAGGCTCTCTTGTTACTCTTGTTGTTGTCACCCATACTCAGCAAAAGTTAAAAACAAACAGCCAGCAAAAGTCAAAACAATCAGCTGTTAAAGCAACGTGTAAACTTACGACGTTTATTTACACTATGTTAATTTTATTCTATCTAAAGTACTTTAAGATGACTTGTCTCTGGGGGTATTAAGTTAAGCTGCTATGATACTTTTAAAATTGACAGGTAACCAATTGCAATGTGTATGGACAAAATTGTTTGATCAGGAATAGGACCCCAAAAAAGGGGAGATAACATAATGGTTGAGCAACAAATGATCATATGAAGGGGCCATTTTAACAATTTGTATTGAATACATTAAATTTATAATAATAATATTATCATGATTAGTAAAGTATTCACTATACAGTATACATGATTAAATAATATATGATATCAACAATGGATGTGGATTCTGGTCATGGTGGGGAGTTGAAGCAAATCAGAGGTGAAGCAAATTTTGGAACAATTTTGATTCTTGTACTCCTGTTACTCCTGTTACTCCCTAATTAGGAAAGGAAAACAAAATTTTTTTAATGGCTGATCTTTTCAGCTAGGTGCCTCAAAACTGAGATGCCTTTGGTGCTATTCCTCATGATGCACTGAAAAGTAGTGAGTTGAAGATGGCTTTTTCAACATTCAGTAGTCGACTCTTTGATTTTATTCACGTTTTTTATTACTCTCGTGTGCTCGGCACAGTTGGACTGGGCTTGAGGGTGAAGTAACCTTACATCTGTGAATGCTGTGTTCAACGGCAACCAGAAAGATCTGCACTAACGTTTAGTATAGCACCATCTTGTCTGTTGGTGTGTGTATCTGAGTGAGTTGTGTCTTACAACCTCATTCCTGCCCATTTGATGGAGTAGATGTGTATATATTTGATTGCAGGGTGTAGGAAGAGGGGGGGCAGTGGGGCGACCGCCCCCCCCCCCCCCCCCCCCCCCCCCATAAAATCTGGGCAAGGGGCGAAAAGGGGCCAACTTTTTTGGCCTCATTTGGCATATCCTGTCTGCATAGTCTAACTGCACGCTAGTCACCCCTTGTAGTTCAAATCTACATCAAATCTACATTCCTCATTACTACGATTCATTCCTTAAAACATGGTTTGATGTTACTTGGTTCCCAACAGACACACGTAGGACTTCTGTAAGCAGCGGAAAAATCGTATCTGAGTGAGAAAACATCAAAGAATTCATGATTGTTGAAAACATGGCCACATGCTTTAATGGTTCTGTTTTACATTTTGGCTGTGCTTCACTGAGTAGAGACATCAGGCACATGACATGACAGTGTATACCATCCAATGTCCAAGTGAACTGGTGTCACCCTGTTCTCTGTATTGTACCATGCTGAGATTTCTCAGAATAGAAATATAAAATGTTTCGAACAGTAAACAGGTAATTTCAGCAATGATAATTGTATGGCCATAAGGATAGACACCCTCGAAAAATGAAAAACCAATTCAGTAAATTAAAATAGATTAAAATGCTATAAAAATGGTTCAAATTTAAAAACTGGGGTGAAAAAACAAAACCCTTTGTAATATAAAAATGGTCAACTAAGAATAGAATTGTCATACCACATACGTTGTATGACCCGCCGCGCACGGGTGCGCGGCTCTCCCTGTATCGTTGAAACTCTACTATAGTGAAGCGGCAGTGGGGTCACCACGTGATACAAGAATAGAATGGAAACAAATTTTGTCGGGTGAATCATGGATTAAAATCCCACAAAACGGTATTAAAATTACCCAACAGTTTTTAATTTTTATATAAATTTATAACATTGTAGCGTGGTGCACTACTGATTACTTTAGTACTGGGCCGCGCCGCGCATATCATCCAATAATCCTTAACTTCTCAAACCACATTTTCATTAAATCGGCAAAATTCACTATTGAGCCACGCCAAGCTGCTTGCTCTATCCAGAGCCCTTGCGCTTGCAGTGGCGCGCGCCCACCTCCCAGTGAGTCCCGGGCGGGCGTCACAGGGGGAGCTGAAACCAGGTTTTCGATCAAACGCTGCCATGTGTAGTCAAACGTCGCCAAAAGTTGCTCTCGTCCAATGAAATCGCTGCATTATGTAAGCCAAGCTCCGCATATGAATATATGTAATTCAATTATGCACACTAACTTGCAAAATGCAGCGATTTCATTGGACGAGAGCAACTGTTGACGACGTTTGACTACAAATGGTAGCATTTGATCGAAAAGCTGGTTTCAGACCCCCCTGTGGCGTGAAACAAGCGTGATCAAACAACTTGTGAAACAAGCGCGCCCGCAGTGGCGCGAAAGCACATGGTTTGGTGAACCAAGCTGAGAAGGATTGACATCATCAATGGTCAATTAATCTATTATATAATGTATAACAGTATTTAAAATTTACAATTTTTGCGTTTTTTATTTATATTTTATCACACAGAAGCACTGTGTAAGGATCCTTTTTGGTGATCTCGACTCATATTTAGATAAACAATCAACATGTGCACGTACTAGACCGTATGGTATGCAAAAATTAGACCATAAACACTTTGAAAAGGAGCATACAAAACCCATTTTTAATAGACTAAAAATTCTAACGGCTCAAAACTTGTATTGTACAAATATCACTGCATTTTAGAATTCTCTAAGATTATCAAGTACCACTGCCCCTACTCCCTTTATGAGGCCATCAACATTTCAAACCGTGCAACGAGTCTAACTGTTATTCTTCTAAATAAATCAAATACCTTTTTGTTTAATGCAGCCAAGCTTTGGAACACAGTTCATAAAAAATTTTATCTTCAAGCAATTGCCTAGAAACTTCCATTAACTTGATAATTGATAAAATTGAGAACCAAAGCACTATTAGTACCACCTTCCCTTACCCAAACATCCACAAGCACTCAACAACTTAAGAAATCAATTCTCTTTTATGGTATTTTCAATGAAAAAATTAAATATTAGGTATATTATAAAGTTTTAAGTAATCAATGTCCCCTTTCTCCATTATAAATCAGACGTCCACCCATGATCTACTCATTTCAGGTGCAGCTAATTTGCCGGTGGTGGCAGCCTGGAGGGCACTCAGCACATCCCCTTGATCAATCAACAGTCATGAAGAGTACTCCACCACCACCACCAGAAACCAGACGCTCGCCCAGAAACGCCTCTCCTGCAGCATCTGTTAAGGCTAAGGCTACTCCACCTCATTCTCCTAAAGTGACTAATCCTCTTCACAGGAAGAGCCCTCTCGCCAATAAGGCTAATCTAAAGAACCCTGCAGCCAACATCTCAGGACGACGAAGATCTAACAGTCTACCAACTAAGTCAGCTGCAAAGCAGGCTACTGTTTCTCCATTGGGACCATCAACTTTACAGCCACCTTCATCTCTCATCCTAAAAATCAGTCCTAGCCATGTAATAGACCCTGTTTGCCTAAAAGATAGTCCGCAGAGCCCTATGAGCCCTATCTACAAACCATTCCCACCCTTCCATGTAGAAGAAGAAGAAAAGGATCAACCAAGTCCAACGCAACGTGCCAACAAAGGTAACTGCCCTTGTAGAGCAAGCTCCGAGGGCAAAGAATGGCTTCTCAAATGTTGCAGATGCTCTCAGCATTGGCACGCCTCCTGCAGCAACCTGAAGGGATCAAACCAGATTGGTCAGATTGATCTTGATGCCATCCTTCAGTACTGGGAATGTCCATGGTGCGGTGCTTCACGTCATTTCATCCCAAACCAAACAGCAGCACCGCGTCTAAATTTGATAAAGCTCTCCAGTCTAGTGTTGACTACAGTAAAAACATCCAAGCTGTATCTGATGCCATCTCGAGTGCTGTATCTAACAGCATACCCACTGTGGAGATATCTTCATTGGAGGCCAGACTTTCACAACTGAGTGAAGAGATCCACTCCTTCCAAAAATCAAGGAATCATCCCGCCTCTACCCATGATGCAGCAGTGAAACGAGAGAGTAAGCCGTCAGTAGCTCTCCCTAAATGTGTACAGCCACCGATAAAGGACTACCAAGTAGACATCTTGGACAAAGATCTGCTTGATGAGGTATCCAGATTTCTCACTGAGAGCAAAGATTCTGGTAAGTTTAGCCAGATGAATGGAAGGGCAGTCCTCAAATACGGCGAAAGCTACAACTATTCTGGAGACTCAAATGCCCCGTCATCAGCAGCCATTCCACCAGTTTTAACAGCTGCCATTGATAGAGTCACGTCTCAGTGCAAACTCACGCACAGGCCTAACTCTGTGCTCATAAACTACTTCCCTCCAAGCAGCGGTGCAGAGGAAAGTATGTTGCCCTTTCACTGTGATGACGAGCCAGAGATCCTCGCTGACTCTGACATAGCCACAATTTCTATAGGAGAGGTCAGAAAAATAAGTTTCATGCCCATCCACGAAGGACAAACACCCACAAAAAACACTGAAATGTCCCTGGAATCAAACTCAGTTTATATCATGACACGTTCCTCACAGGCATGGTTCAAACATGGTATTAAAGCTACCCAACAGACCAAGGTAACCCCGTCCATAGGACGTTACTCAATTACCCTTAGAACAGTTGACAAAAAATTTCGAAGAAGCACCATCATACTTGGAGATTCCAACACCAAAACTATCAAGTTTGGGAGCGGTGTTGGTACTATGGGTCAGTCTTTCCCTGGCGAAAGAGTTAAGGCGGGCAAAGTTGGTTTGATTGACCCATGTCACTGTATCGGATACAGCAATGCTGTTATTGTATGTGGTACAAATGACCTTCGAGTAGACAACCTTAGAGGAGAGAATGCAATCTATCAGCTGGTTGACATTCTCCGCATGAAGATTGAACATGAAGATGAAAGCACCGTGTATTCAATTCCTAACTACAATAGTTTTTACCAGAATACTGTAGGTAATAAATCCAAAGGAACTGGTGTAGCATTATATGTTCAAGATAGACTTAGCAGTATTGTGAACGAACTTGCGTCAGACGTAACCGAGAATTTAGAATCACTATTCGTAACTAGTCGTAAAAA